GGACCCTCGGCGGCTGAGGAGCTGCAGCGCAGCCTGCCTGCCCGGGCCGACGTTCCCCCGTAGCTTCGCGCCGGGGATCTGCATTTCCCTCCAGGGGCTTTATAAAAGGGACTGTTCTTGTATTTTGGGGAAATATTGCACCCTGGCTCCCGTCTCTGCTTCTCACGGGCATCGGATGCCCCAAGTGGGTCCGGTCCTCTCTGCGAGCCGGACTTCGGAAGTCCCCTTGCTCCAGGGTCAAAGTCAGAGCGCTGATGAGCTTGGCGATTCAGACTCTGGCCCTGTTCTGGCTCAGAATCGCGATGTCCCCTGATTAACGCGCACTTAGGCAGACTTCTCGATGTACGGACCGGGGAACCAAGTCCCCCCAAGAGGATTCTTCACCCTCGCTGCCTCCCTGGTGCCCGAGAGTCACCGTGTCCCCTGGGAAACGTGATTTGTGATAATGTCCTCCCACCCCCACCCCATCATCCTCAGTGTCTGGGTCTTCCTGAGGGGAAGGCCATCTCTGAGAATGTGACTCCGGTATTTATTTTAGCTGCATCATTTAGTGAAGCACCCCTGGCCTGTCCCAGAGGATGGCAGCTGTATAGGAATTGTGTCTCTGGCCACAAGCCCCTCGCACCCGCTCCATGGCTTCTCCAGGCTTTTTTTTTTTTTTAACGTATGAAGAAAGAGGTGACTTGAAAACTTTTCTGTTGAGAAGATCCTCTCTGTGCGTAGGGTGGGAGGGGGTGTGTGTGAGGCTATGAAGCTCTTTGAGATCAAGGGGGCTGTGTGTGTGTGTGCGCAAGCGTGTGTTCGTGTGTTCCTCTCTGCATCGTAAGAAATAGGTACTCAGTCAATGTTTATCCTTGAAGAAATTCTTCGTGCCTTTTGTACTCTTCCTGGAGTTTATCCTGACAGAACAGAGGTTTTTCTGGAATGAGAGTATACAAGTGGTTCAAAGAGTTCTAAGAATGACCATGTCCTTTTAAAATGTAGTTAGTAAATATTGCTAATAAAACTGTGTGCCACGCCCCTAAAACTCCAATAATTTTAGAAATTTGAATATTCAAACTGAGCTGTTAAATGAGAACTCCCTTGCCTACCTCTGGTGGCATGTGCTCTCACCCACTGTGAAACCAATGAAACGCAATTTCTAAGGTGTCCACTCTCATAACTCCCCACACGCATTATTTTTGCAATCTTAAAACTGTCCTTCCCTGAGATGATATGGGATGAAGGGGAATAAAGGGGGGATAATTTGTAAGCAGTGTTGGATGACCAGGCAGGTGTTGATGCCTAAGGGACCAACAGCACAATCTTGCGTAGCTGTGACCTAAATAGCTGTATTTAAAGCAGCCTGGGGAATAAGGCCTGGAGAGTAATAGGACTCAGGTAGGCCACATGGGAGTTCCCTGCTGTAAATGTCTTTGCAGTGTTTTAAATAAATATGAGCAGCTATCTTTCCCAGGAAGAGACTGTCCTAGTTTACTGTCTCTGTCAGGTGACAGTAGCAGAGTTGGGTTGGCAGCGTGTTTTTTTTCTTTCCTCTCTTTTCTTTTCTTTTTTTTTTTTTCAAGATCCTAGCAAAACAGCTGTGACAGCAGTCAAGAAAACTTGAATAGCCCACATTTGAGAGAAGGACCCCTGCTCGGCCATGGAGAACACCTCAAACACACAATGTCAGAAAAGGTTTGTAGGACTCCAATAAAAGTCTCTCTCCCCTTCCCTGGCTCAGGATACCCATACACACATTTTGTCTCCCTAGTGGGATATTTGGGGATTAGGGATCACTCTGTCCCTCCTCTGCACACAGAGGTGTGTGATGTTTGTCTCAGTGCAAGATTTCAGGAACCTCACAAATACTTTCCTTTTCCCAGTAGAAGGCGCCAAAGTGAAGAGCTTCCTGTAAGGGTCACCTTTATCCTGGGTGATGTTTTTATGATGCCTCGATCATCCTGTCCTCGTGCTTCTCCTCGCCCTTCCACTCCGGGGCTCTTGCCATAACCAAGAGGGGAATCCTGAAGTCTTGAAGCAGAAAGGGACCTTAGAAGGAAACTATGGGTGTTTAGGAAAGTAGAGTGACAATTCAGGTCACTTAGCATGTTAGTGGCAATGCTGGGACTAGAGCCTCACATTTCTGATTCACATGTCCTTTTATTCATCCATCAACCAGCCATCCATCCAACAAATATTCCTGAGCTCTTTTATGTCAGTGGCTGTGAAACTTGGCTGCACGTTGGAATCACCGAGGGAGTTTTAAAAGGTACCAATGCCTTGGGTTCCACCTCCAGAGATTCTGATTTAATTGAGCTGGGGGGAAAACATGAATATTGAATTTTTCTCTTGGAATATATTTTTTCTATATAAAGTGATACAGGTATATGCAGGGGGAAGGATATAGCTCAAGTGGTAGAGTGCATGCTTAGCATGCACAAGGTCCTAGGTTCAATCCCCAGTACCGCCATTGAAAATAATTAAATAAATAAACCTAATTACCTACCCCCTCTAAAAAAAAAGATACAGGTATATAAACTTGGGCAACACAGTAATGACTACAGTGACTCCATTATTATGTTTCTTTATAGATTGCAGTGACACACAAAATTTAAGGTCCATAGACAAACTAAGAGTCTTTAGCTTAAATGAATTCTTCCTGAAAATTCTTAATTGTACACTGATCTGTTCTCAGGCAGAGAAGTTTTACAAGACACCATCCTATATTCAGCATGTCACATTCCTGTAGTGAAAAATAGAGGCACAGATGGTACAAGTAAATCTAATCCCCCCTCTGCTTCTGGACACAACTCAACACACACACACACACACACACAAGGACACACACACTTGGATGAGTTCTTCCAGTACATTTTTTCCAAACAGATGATAGTTTTATTAAAGAATTCCAACAGTTCCCATAATTGTCACAACCACATGCTGTTAGCTATGCTAGACAAGACTTGACAAGGATCCAGCTACACAGCAACAAATAAGTACTTGAGAACATCTACCTGTCTGGATTTCTCATGTAGAAAATACTGTCTAAGAGTTTCTTGGTAAAATGATGTAATAACTAAGCATTTCTTATTATGGAGGTCGGGTGGACTTTTTAAATTTCCCAGGTGATTCCAATGAGCAGCCAGTTTGAGAATCACTCTGCACCAGAGCCTGATTCTTAGTGCTGGAGATACCGAAGTCAGTAAAATGGACAATATAATTACTGACAGAAATTGAACCGGTAAATTAGTAAGATAGTATTGGGTAGAAGTAAGTGCTCGTCAAGAAGAAGAAACAGTACAATGTGATAGGAAATCATGTGTTGGAGTCAGAAGCTCTTTTGGATCTGACATCGTGTACATCTTTGAGATGAAGGGGGCAGGATAGGGCTCTCAAGTGCCAGTTGAGGGGAGATCCAAATCTTAAGAAGGTGCTGTGGGAGGATCTCAGGGAAGAGCATTCCATGCAGGAAGAGCATCTAGGGTCGCCTGGACAGCCTCCCTGTGCCCCTCCAGGCTCACTCTTGGCCGTCTCACCTTGCTTGCTGCTGTACAGGGTTGGCTTATGAGGGCTTCATCAGCAGGGCCTGGGGTGTTATGATAGAAAAGAACAACTCTAACTCCATAGTAGATCTGTTCCTTTGACTTTAACCGTGGGCTGTTTCCCGTGCTGAGTCATGTTGGTTCTGCACCTTTTGTAAAAGGATGTCACCTATAGCCTGAAATATATAGGAGAGCCCATTCTCAAGGCTCTGACCATTAAGGGTATAACACTTTCCCATTCATATAAAGATAAAAAGTTGCAGAATAGAAAATAACACTAGTCTTGCTGGAGGTTTGCAAGCTACATGGACAGCTGCAAGAACAAAGGATTCCAACACCAAGAGGTTTGCGACAACCAACCACACCCTCTTCCCTTTTTAGTATAAAAGGACACTGAATTCTGACTTAGGGAACATGGTTCTCAGGACGTTAGTCTGCCATCTTCTCGATCTGCCAGCTTTCCAAATAAAGTCACTATTCCTTGTCCCAGCACTTCATCTCCCAATTTATTGGCCTGTCATGTGGCCAGCAGAATGAATTTGGACTCAGTAACAGTGTGGGATCTGAAAAGTAGACTCAAAAGCAATTTGGCAAACTGTATCAAGAACTTAAAAAGCAGCCTTGAATACACTTTCACTTTTAGGGCTTATGGACAGAGCTCTTCATCCTAACATTATTTACGAGAGAAAAACCTGGAAACCATGTAAATAGCCTATGAAAAGAGAATGGGTAGATGCTAACTACTATGTATATATAAAATAGATAAACGACAAGTTTCTTCTGTAGTGCACAGGGAACTATATTCAACATCCCCTATAATGAAAAAGAATATGAAAATGAGTATGTGTGTATATATGCATGACTGGGATGAAACTGACACGTTGTAACTGACTATACTTCAATAATGAAAAAAAAAAGTCAGAACAAAGTAAAAGTGATAGACAATCATTAAAAAAAAGAGAGAGCATGGGTAAATACATC